AATGGGTGGTGTGGTTAGGTTGGAAGCGGAGGAACAGGGAATATAGGGACATTTTCTTAGGAAATGATAGAACATGAGGAAAATATTTTTTTTTATTTTTACGCCTTAGGAAGGTCCCTCAAAACAATTTTTTTTAAATGTACGCGCATGCGTAAGTCTCTTAAAAATATTTTTAAAAAATCCACGCCTACTATACCTACCTTAGTACCTTGGGTGGTGTGGTTAGGTTGAAAGTGGAGGAATAGGGAAATAGGAACATTTTCTTAGGAAATGATAGAACATGTGGAAAATATATTTTTTTTTATTTTTATGCCTTAGGAAGGTCGCTCAAATATATATATTTTTTTAATGTACGACTCCGAAAAAATATTTGAAAAAAATGATTTTGCAGGTCCTCAGAGAATATTTTTAAATGCTCGCATTTGTAAGTCTCTTAAAAGTATTTTTAAAAAATCCACGCCTATTATATAAAAAATTACTTCTATTATAATTAACACTTCTTAAAGGCCTCCAAACTATTTTTTTGAAATCCATGCCTTTTGTGGGTCACTGAAAAAATATTTGTAGGAAATCCAGGCCTATTGTGGGTCTTTGGAAATAATATTTTTATAAGATCCACACCAATTATTGATTCATAGCAAATTTTTTTAATTCTAGTTTTGGCCCCAACAAATATTTTTATAAAATCCACATCCATGAAATTTTTTTTTTTCAAAAAACCACAGCAATTATTACGATTTTAAAAATATGTTTCCATCTTTCGCGTTTGTGGTTACCCTTTTTGTCACTTCAAATCTTGAGGTCCTCTTTTAAAACTCATTTAAACATTAATCATTTTCAAGTTATAAGTGTACTTTTGCTAACACACACACACATGCATATTCTCCAACAAAGTACAACATCTCTATCCAACACATATGAAGTGGTATGGCCAACAGACCCAGTTAGCCAAAGACCCAGTACCACAACTGCAAATACACTCCGACACACCACTACACAAGCATTGCCACACAATTATAAAAATGATACATCTACAGTCAAATACTTCCTTTAAATATTCCCTTCATATATTATTTAATGTCCATTTACTGCTACAATGATGAACTTCGTCGAATTGTTTGGATGTATTACACAGACAGGATTTATGTTTGGCTGTGTGTGTGCTATTACCATAAAGGTACACCATTAAAAAATATATAAGGATATATGCTTGCAGAAGTAATATACTTTTAAAAGAAAATATGTTTTAAAATTGGTTTGTTATGTTCAGTTGGCGTGGATTTTTTAAAAATATTTGTTCAAGTTGTGAAAATACTCGAGGCTTTTCATACCCTACATAACTATGTTGTCAGGGTATTATAGCTTTGTTCAGCCCCAAGAGTTTGTAACGCTGCGAAATATTGGTCCTAGACCCACCTTTAAGTATACCGATCGTCATATCTCGACTAGCTGAGTCGATCTAAACAAATGTATCCGTCCGACCATCCGTTCGTCTGTCCATTATACTTTTTAAACACGATACAGGCCACAGTTATGAACCAATCTTCACGAAATTTTGCATGTAGAACCGATTCTGGTCAATGAAGACCCTTATTGTTTTTGGTAAATATCGGTTAATATTTAGTGGATGAAATGGAACAAATACTTAATTTTTGTAGAATTTCTGGCCGATGCAGAGGCCGCACTTGTAGCTCGAACATCGCGAAATTTTACATGAACAAGGGAATCGGGCCAAAGAATAAGCATGCCTGTTTTGACAAAGTTCGGTCAATATGTACCCTGACTTTTGTGTGAATAATTACTAAATTTGTATTCTCTAGCGTATATATTTACTCCAGAAGGCATAGGTCCAGAAGGAATATATCCCAGAGGGGTGGTTGACCTTTAAATTGATACCTATTATATCGTAGTATGTACTCGGATGTGGGAGTTACACTTAAATATTTACAGGTGTTTGCGTATTCATATATTATATCGTAATACATTATAACACTAGGGTCGGAAATATAGCGCTGATCGCTTTAAAATTTATGTTACAGTTATGGTCAAGGTTCCACTTATGGTCAAGGTTCCAGTTATGGTCAAGGACAACGTCTAAAATTTTTCGGTAATGATCAGATAATAAGCTTAGAACGAGGTGGACCGAAAACTTAATTTTTTGTGTTTTTGGAGTCGATATAAAGGCGACAATTATAAGCCGAACATCACAACTTAACCCTCGGTGAAGGGAATCTCGATAGAAGGGCTGTCCTGAATATAAGTAATATTCCGAAGATATTTCAGTGTAAGGAAGATATGCTGGTGATCTCTAATCGGTCAAAAGGTGCAAATATCACAAAATATTGCCCAGGCTCGGAATAAACATCAGCAGAGAGTTCCGTGGTAGTTATGTAGGGTATTGTATGGTCCGTCCGACTATACTGCTCTTCTCACTGGAGCAGTATAGTCGGAGGGGACCGACTATGTTATACCCTACACAACTTACACGAAAATCTAACTTTCTCTGGTTCTATATTCTGAACGTAGGCAATATTTCGCGATATTCGCACCCTCTTGACCGACTACAGGTCAACAAATATTATTATTACTAATATTCAGTGCAGCCCGTGTAAATTACTTGTCCAGTTTTCCTTCACCATGGGTTGTGTTCGACTCGAAAAAAAACACAAAAAATACGTTTTCGGTCCACTTCATCCCAATATTATTATCTGATCATCACCGAAAATTATAGGAGCTGTCCTTGACCATACCTAGATCCTCATGGAAATTTTCAATTTCGCCCTCTAGTGTGCTAATGGGTTACTCCCACATCCGAGTAAATACGACAATATATTTGGTATCAATTTAAAGGTCAACCACTCATCTTGGATATACTATCAACTTCTCGGGTCTATGTCCTTCAAGGATAAACCTATACGGTCTATAGGGTCCATTTGACCCGCCAAATATCGACCGGTCTTTATAAAAACAGAAATGCTTATTCTTTGGCCCGATCACCTTCTTCATGCAAAAAATCGCGATGTTTGGGCCATAATTGTGGCCCCTGGAGCGACCAGAAAATCAAACAAACACCAGTATGGTAGTTATGTAATAGTAAAGTCGGACTGGGCCGACTATGTGATACCCTTCATCACTTTGGGTATATTCTACGTATGTATCCTAACAGACGTCGCGTTTTTGTTATATATCTATATTTGGACCGACTTCAGGGAAACATGACAGAAACTAATTTATATTACTTCAGTACGTTGTGTCAATCGGTCTAGCTATGAATCTTTTCACGAAGCTTAGCAACATCATTCTAAACTTAATTCCTACACAAAAATTCGTGCAAATCGAAAAATATATATATAATATAGATTTTGGTGCACCATTTACATAAGATCGGACGAAAATATATATATGGGAGCTATATCTAAATCTGAACCGATGTTCACGAAACTTTGCACAAATCATTCTAGACTTAATACAGTACGCTATGCCAAAAATCGTGCACATCAAAAGATTTCCAGGGACAATAGTGGAATATTTACCTCAAGTGGGGATACTATATATGGGAGCTATGTCTAAATCTGAACCGATTTTCACAAAACTTTGCACACATCATTTTAGACTTAATTCAGTACCCTATGCCAAATTTCGTGCAAATCGAAAGATATATAAGGACTTTGGTACACCATTTAACTTAAATCGGACGAAGATATATACATATATGTGAGCTATCTCTAAATCTGAATCGATTTTCACGAAACTATGCACACATCATTCAAGACCTTATTCAGTACGCTATGCCAAATTTCGAAAGACATATGGGGACTTTAGTACACCATTTACTTTAAATCGGACGAAAATATATGTGGGAGATATATCTAAATCTGAACCGATTTTTCTCATTTTCAATAGGGTTTGTCCTTGGACCAAATAAGTGAAGTGTGCCAAATTTCATCCAAATCGGATCACAAATGCGACCTGTATTTTGTTAACAAAAATATATGGACGGACGGACGCACATGCGTAAATCGACTTAGAAAGTGATTCTATGCATATTCTCAAAAGGAACCATGTGTCTATCTCGATTCCTTTTGCCTGTTACAAACATATGCACAAAGACATAATACCCTGTGTGGTAAAGGGCATAAAAATCCACGCCTTGAGGGATACTAAAAATGTTTTTAAAATTCATATTTTAAAATTATGCTACTAGTTTCTTAAGTCTATTTCCCCCACAACTGATAAACAATCCAAACTATTTCATTTTTCATAACTAACTTCCCAGCCAGAGGCATAAAATCTTAAAACAACAAATACAGAAGCAACAAATCTGCAGAGATATGCCACAGAATGTAATTAAACTTCGCCACACTCTAACGATTATGGTGGCATGTGGCACGCTTTGTTTTCAGTTTTACTATTTTTTTGTTTCACTGCAACTATTTTTCCTACTTTGTTTTTGTTGCGAAAAAAAACATTTAACCAAACAATGGTCTTTAGTTGATGCTACCGCTTCTTCTTCTCCTTGAGTTTTCCCCCATCATGTGAAACAACTTCTTATTGTGAAATCAAGTTCTGCCGCATAGAACTGAAGGCAACCCACAGACAGATGAAGGCAAGTCACTCTCAAAGATGATGATGGTAAAGGCGATGATGAAAACTTTGTGGGTCTTTGAAAGAAAAAAAATTAACTTTCAGTTTTTTATTATCAATTTTTAAATTTTCTTAATAATTTGTTGTTGTTGTTTTTTTTCCTTAACTCATTTCAGCATTTCAACAGTAATTATGGTGTGTAAATATTTTAAGAAAATTATGCCTGCGAGAAAAACTGGCAATTAGCCACTTGGTGCAACAACAATTTGGAACAAAATAAACATTAAAAACGCATAAACATATTTCGAAATCTTAAAAAAAGTTTTGAAAAACAAAAATTCTACGAATAAAAACCTGTTTGCCTAATTCTCCACGGGCTCTAAGCCATCGTCGCACACACACGCACAGCCATCATCATGGCGACAAAGAATATCTCCTTGATTTCGGTCATTGGCCTTTGTTGGCTGGCCATCTGCGTGGAAGCAGTGCCACTAAGTCAACAACAGCAGCAACATGCCCAGCTGCAATTGCAAATGCAACAACAGCATCAACAATCGCCACATCACAACAATTACAAACAACAACTACAATATCAAATGCAACAAAAGGATAAATTCGAGTATCAACAGCATATGAAACAGCAACAACAATACTATCAACAACACTACCAGCAGCAGCAACAACAACATTTGGATAAGCAACAGTCGCCGCTGCAGCAACAGCAGTTTCATGAAATACCTTCGCCAACGGCAATGGATTTATTAGCCGATCAACAGCAGCAGCAACAACAACGGCAACAGTTAGAACATGAACTCCAACAATCACAACAACAACACCAGTCGTATTTAGTCGTTCAACCAACACAGGTGAGTGACACAAAATATAATTTCATTAAAAATAAAATAGGCAATTAAATAAAACAAGAATACTTTTATTAGATTTCGTTTGTTACCTATTAAAAAATAAATCTAATTTCGGCAAAATAAAAAATAAATGAATACAAGTGAAAAAGCGTTAAGTTCGGCCGGGCCGAACTTTGGATACCCTCCACCATAGATATACGGGCAGGTACTAGAAATGAAAATGTCAAAAAGTGGACCTATACCGACATTTCTAAAAACGTAAACCATAATGTAAACAACAATACAAATTTCAGAAAATTTTAATGGATAATTATACCTCCAGCCTTGCAGCTAATGACGGTGTATACACTTTAACACAATGAAAATGTGCCTCATCGAAATATTATTTCTTCCAAACTTAGTTCAAATTCGAAGATGGGGAATATCGGTCCACTTCTTCTGGTACCTCCACACAGGGGCTAGGTCTAAATGCGGCTATAGTTCATTATCGAACCTTACGTTCTAATTTTTTATCTCGCTATCCTCCGCAGGTGAAATGGTTACAACAGGGTCTTAGAATCAAAATTAAAGCGCGTAACAAATCAGATAACTATTTTAATATAAAAAAGGGGGTTATATGGGGACTACCCCAAAAAGGGGGCGAATATTAATAATTTTTGGTAGGGAGATTTGTTACAATATACGACTACAAAATACCAAATTGCAGCAAATTCGGTTGATAAACGCGTTCAAGAACCCCAAAATACCGAAAATTGGGGGTACCCTTATATGGGGGCTATCCGAAAAAATAGACCTATATTCATAATTGTTTGTGGTGAGAGATTTGGTCCATATTAAGAACTCATAGTATTAAATTACAGCTATTTCGGTGGGAAAATACGATCAAAACCCCCAAAATACTGAAAATTAGGAGGTACCGTTATATGGGGACTACCAGAAAAAGTGGACCTATATCCATAATTTTTTGTGGAGAAATTTATTACCCAATAGGAACCCAATATAGCAAATTTCAGCGAATTCCATTGAAAAACGCGGTCAAGAACCCCAAAATACCGAAAATTGAGGGGTACCGTTATATGGGGGGTGCCAGAAAAAATTGACCTATATTTATAATTTTTAGTAGGTTTATTTGGTACCCAATAAGAACTCAAAGTTCTAAATTTCAGCGAATTCTGTTAAAAAACACGCTCAAGAACCTCAAAATACCGAAATTTTGGGGTTACCCTTACATGGGGGCTGTCCGAAAAAATGGACCTATATTTATAATTTTTAGTGGGGATATTTGCTACCCAATAAGAACTCAAAGTACCAAATTTCAGCGAATTCGGTTGAAAAACACGCTCAAGAACCTCAAAATACTGAAAATTGGGGGGTATCCTTATAGGGAGCTATGCCTAAACGTGGACCGATATAGCCCATCTTCGAACTTGACCTGCCTGCAGACAAAAGACGACTCTATGCAAAATTTTGGCGCTCTATCTCAATTCGTTTAGACGCTAGAGTGATTACAACAGACAGACGGACAGACGGACAGGCGGACATGCATAAATCGTCTTAGAATTTTACGCTGATCAAGAATATATATACTTTATAGGGTCGGAAATGAGTATTTCGATGCGTTACAAACGGAAAAACAAAACTAATATACCCTCCATACTATGGTGGAGGGTATAAAAATTGGAAAAAATATGTCATGCAATAAAATTTTATAGCAAGCGATAATTTTTTTTTGGAAAAAAAAATATTTAAAGAAAATCCGCGAATTAAGTTAGACCAGAAAAAAATATTTTTTATTGATCCGCGACTAAGTTAGACCAGACAAAATATTTTTAAACCAGTGACGGAGCAGTATAGTCGGTCGGGGCCGATCATACACAACTACCACGGAACTCTAACTTTCTGCCGATGTTTATTCTGGGCAATATTTCGTGATATTTGCACACTTTTGCCCGATTAGAGGTCAACAGCACTTTCTTACACTGACATCTTTTCAGTACAGGCCTTCTAATTACTCGTCCAGATTCCCTTCACCGCGGGTTGTGTTGTGATGTCCGGCTTATAATTATGGCCTATAGATCAACTCGAAGAAACATAAAAATTAATTTTTCGGACCACTTCATCCCAAAAATTTTATTTGATCATCACCGAAAATTATAGGCGTTGTCCTTGACCATACCTGGAACATGACGAAAATTTCAAAACGACCAGCTCCAAATTTCCGACATCTAGTGTGGTAATGGATTACTAAATAATATGTGAATACGTAAGCACCTGTAAATATTTACGTGTAACTCCCACATCCGAGTACATACGACAATATAATTGGTGTCAATTTAAAGGTCAACCTCTCCTCTTGGATATTTTATCAACTTCTCGGGTCTGGGGCATTTTTCACACAAAAGTCAGGGTCCATTTGACCCGCTAAATATTGACCGATGAAAAAAAACATGCTTATTCTTTTGCCCGATCTCCTTCTCATTATAAAAAATCGCAATGTTCGAGCCGTAATTGCGGCCTTTGGAGCGACCTGAAAAACCGACAAAAATTAAGTATTTGGTCCATTTCATCCCCTAAATATTAACCGATCTTTACCAGAAACAATAAGGGTCATTCATTGATCAAAACCGGTCCTACATGCAAAATTTCGTGATGAATGGTTTATAACTGTAGCCTGTATCGTGTTTACAAATTATAATGGACAGACAGGCGGACGGACGGACACACATATCTAGATCTACTCAGATAGTCGAGATATGACGATCGGTATTCTTAAAGATGGGTCTAGGAACTTTTGGGGCTGCACAAAGCTATTATACCCTGACAACATAGTTGTGTAGGGTATAAAAACAAAAAAGGTAGATATGAAAAAAATATTTTTAAACCAGTGAGCGGAGCAGTAGAGTCGGACGATCATACGATACCCTACACAACTACCACGAAACTCTTACTTTCTGCCGTTTTTTTTTTTTTTTTTTGAGCCTGGACAATATTTCGTGATTGTTGCACCCTCTTGCCCGATTAGAGGTCAACAGCATCTCTTCCTTACATTGACATATATTCCGAATATTACTAATTACTTCAGTACAGCCCTTCTAATTACTTGTCCAGATTCCCTTTACCGTGGGTTTTATTGTGATGTTCGGCTTTCAACTGTGGCCTATAGATCGACTCTAAAGAAATACAAAAAAAAAATAAGTTTTCGGTCCACTTTATCCCAATATTATTATCTGATCATCACCGAAAATTATCGTCGTTGTCCTTGACCATACCTGGAACATCATGGACATTTTCAAAACGACCAGAGCTATATTTCCGACCTCTATTGACCAATCTTTATAAAACCGAGCATGATTATTCTTTGGCTCGATCCCCTTCTCCATGTAAAAATTCGCTATATTTGCGGCCTCTAGACCGAACAGAAAATCATACAAAAATTAAGTATTTGTGTCATTTCATCACCTAAATATTAACCGATCATTACCAAAAAAATTGTGGTCTTCATTGGGCAGAACCCATGCTACATGCAAAATTTCGAGAAGATTGATCCATAACTGTGGCCTATATCGTGTTTACAAATTATAATGGACAGACGGACGGACACACATGTCTAGATAGACTCAACTAGTCGTAATATGACGATCGTTATACTTAAAGGTGGTTCTAGGACCAATATTTCGCCGCGTTACAAACTCTTGGGGCTGCGCAAAGCTATAATACCCAGACAACGTAGTTGTGTAGGGTATAAAAATCTATGCCTTAAGGTAGACCCGAAAAAATAGTTTTAATAACAACTGAATTCCCTTCATACTGTCGGAAATCTATTTTCCCCAAAAAAAAGTTATAAACTTTATACGCCAATTAAATTGGAGGAACACTTGCATTCCCTTTGAACCTCCAATCAATAAAGATATCAGCGTCATTGCCGTTGAGTGACACACGTCAAAGTGACACCGTGGATTTTTTTTCACACACCGATTCCTCTCAATTAGTGCTTCAAAAATGGTACAAAGGAAAATATTTTGTTGTTGTTTTTATTTCGGTGTTAGTTTGTTCTGTGAGCCTTCCAGGGCTTCAAAAATTGACTTTTATTTTGTTGTTGTATTTTTATGGGCTGTTAGCCTATGTGGTTCTGTTGAAATGTTGTGGCATCCATGTCAGGATAAAGTTAAACAAGTATGGCTTACACAAAACAAATTAAATTTTATCTAAGTGTTTTTCATAGGGTATCCTTGATATTATTTGTCTTTAGTATATTCTTGCTTGCATTAGATTTATTTCACAAACAATAAATTAGGAAGGATTAAGGAACAACAAAAGCCATATTTACAGATTAAACCAGTAAGGAAAGTAGTAAAGTCGGACGGGGCCGACTATATGATACCCTTCACCACTTTGAGTATATTCAACAGATGAATCCTAACAGAAGTCGCATTTTTAAAGGACCAGTAAAATGAAATTGGAACCATAAACACGTCATTCTGCAACCGATACTAAATTCTTCATTTGGTCAGATATAGAAGCTATATCTAAATCTGAACCGATTTCAGGAAACTTAACACACATCATTCTAGACCTAATTTGTTACGCTGTGCCAAATTTCGTGCAAATCGAAAGATATATAGGGACTTTGGTGCACCATTTACATTAAATCTGACGAAAGTATATGTGGGAGCTATATATAAATCTGAACCGATTTTCAGGCAACTTTACACACATCATTCTAGACCTAATTTGCTACGCGGTGCCAAATTTCGTGCTTAAATCGACTCAAAAAGTGATTCTATGCATATTCTCAAAAGGAGCCATGGGTCTATCTCGATTATTTTTGCATGTTACAAACATATGCACAAAAACATAATACCCTGTACCAGAAAAAAGAATTTGGTTCAATAACCTCAAAACCTGGGGGCTACCAGAAAAAATTGACCAATATTTATAATTTATAGTGGAGAGATGTGCTACCTAATAAGAACTCGACGTACTAAATTACAGTCAATTTGGTC